GCCCAGCTGAGTTGACACACAAACATAATCACCACACGAAGGCTGTAGTCTTTGATCTTCATCCGTAAATGCTTCAAGTCATCTTCACTTTCAGCGAGCAAGGTTGTGTCATCTGCATATTGCAGGTTGTTATGAGCATTCCTCCAATCCTGATTCCACATTCTTCTTCATAGAGTCCAGCTTCTCAGATTATTTGCTCAGCACGCAGATTGAGTAAGCGTGGTGAAAGGATACAACCCTGGTGCACACCCTTCCTGATTTTAAACCCCGCAGTGTCCCCTTGTTCTGCTTGAATCTTGCTCTATGTACTAGAGTAGGGTGGGCCCTAATCCAACAGGACTGGTGACCTTCTAATAGGAGGAGACACAAAGAGAAGGGCACACAGGGGAGGGGGAAGGTGAAGACAGGGGCAGAGATTGGGGTGATGCATCTCCAAGCCACGGAACACCAAGGCCCGCTGGCCATCACCCGAAGTCAGAAGACAGGTGTGGAATGGTCCTTCCTCAGAGCCCTCAGCAGTCACCAGCCTTGACTTTGGACTTCTGGGCTCCACAATTGGGGGAGGATATGTTTCTGTTGTTTTAAGACACTGATCTGTGGGACTTTGTTACAGCAGCCTGAAGAGACCAAGACAGGTAAGTAGGATGCAGTGTGTATGTGCCTTTGGGCTTGAGAGAGGAAAGGGTGACTGTAGCAACCAACTGCTGGTATTTTAAAATTTTTCATATGGTAAAATATATGCCTGTGGGGCAGGGCCACTGGGTAGGGGATGGTGGCCACATGCAGGTAGGGGATACATGGATGCTGGCGTGACTTACAGAACCTGGTCATCAATACGGCGGTCACCAATAGCCAACAAGCACTTCCCAAACCCACTACTGTTGAGTCCACTTGGACTTGAGTCAAATCACAGGAGACGTGTCCCAGAGGGTTGTCCTGGCCATGATCTTCAGGGACACAGATTGCCAGGCCCTTCCTCCCCAGTGCTGCTGGGTGGGTCTGACCCGCCAACCTTTCGGTTAGTTGATGGGTGCATGCCCTCTGTGCCCCTCAGGGACCTTCTTTCCCGAACATGGACTATGTCTCTCTGTTAGCATCCATCCATCCATGCTTTCACCCCTCACTTCCTCACTCTCCCGTGAAGCACCCGCCTGGCTCCAGGCACACTGGGCCTTCCTTCCCCACACTCCTGTCCACAGACGAGACTGAGTCGGCTCCCACTCCGGTGGAGAAGAGAACAGGGGGCAGGATGCCCCCCACACTGAGGATTTGAAGGGTCAGCTCTGCCTGGTGGGACTCCCGAGGACCAAGTAAAGAAACGACGTGGAGAGATGAGGTCTCAAGAAAGACTCTAGGAAAGATGGCGCTTGGAGTGAATCCTGGAGGATACACAGATTTCTGAAAGGGGGGCTCTGAGGAAAGGGCACTCCAGATGGAAGGCACAGCGTGAGCAGAGGGAAGGAGCCTGGGCGCGGGCTGCAGCCAGGGAGACGGGTCTGCCCCAGGAGCCCAGGACGCAAGTGTGCTTACAGGGCCTCGCACTGTGGTTTCCTTCCACATGAACCACTCCCTGCTCAGCAGAAGCTCCACAGGCCCAGGCCTCGGCCCCTTACTCGGGAAGTAGGTAACACAAGAAACAAAAGGATTTGCAGGCAATCGGCGCTATAATCCAGTTTAATTAACACATAGCAGTGACCAGCAGAGCCCTGGGGTGGTAGGAACAGCCAACACTGGCCAAGAAGCTTGGCTGCTAACTACAAGGTTGGTGGTTGGAGTCTACCCAGAGGCATCTCGGAAGAAGGCCTTGATGACCTCCTTCTGAGGCTGCAGCCACTGCAATCCCTGCGGGGCGAGTTCTGCTCTGACCTGAGGGTCCTTGGGGACAGGAATCCCCTGAGGCCGCTGGTTCGGTTCTGGGGCGTGTGCTCACTTGCTCACTGGTTGTTGTCGAGTCCATTTCGACTCATGGTGACGCCAAGTGTGTCCGAGCAGAACCGCCCTCCCCAGCGTTTCCAGTGGGTCCTTTTTCTGGAAGTAGATTGCAAAGGGTTTCTTCCAAAGTGCCCCGGGTGGATTTGAACTGCCAGTCCTTCGGTTAGCAACCCCAGTGCTTAACTGCCTGGGCCACCCAGGCACACAACACTCACTCACGGTGTCTGCAGTAGGGCCCACCAGCAACCTGAGAGGGTCACGGGCAGGCTGGGTCCCTCTGTGTCCACTGAAACACCAAACACGGCTGATGACATTGATCCGTTTTTTATTTTTTTTAACCAAAGAGCTAGTGACATTTCAAAGACTTCAGTAGGAATCCTCTCTCTGGCTCTCTGAATGCTAGTTCCCCATGATGGTCCACTTTACCAGGCTGGTGTCCAGCGAGCAAAAACACGAAGGTGGTGGGGCACCAGCCTGGGTTGGGCTGAACCTAGAAGTTGGGGGGAGGACCCAGAGGCTGTGTGCGCACCCCGAGAGCCGGCCTTTTGCTTTGCGTCTGGTAACTCCTTGTTTCTGCATGGTGTCAATCTAAATACATGACCACTTAAAACATGTGCTAGTTACGCATGAGACAACTAAACCTGCGGGTTAACCGATGATCTCTTATTGAATGCTTCCAAGAAGCTAGGTTCTGGGGTGCAGGGACAGGGGCCCTTGGTGTTTGGGGTGTGTGTGTCCACACTCAAGCACATAAGTCACTTTGCAGATGTTCTAACAACACTGGGGTCTGGATATAAGAAAAACCACCTCAGCGTCTCCCTAACTTTTGCGGAGAGACCGAAAGTGCGTGGCTGAGCTGATGACACTGTGTGTGCGCAATGCTCGTGCGACAGACAAAGACAAAGTGGTAATAACTGACCAGCTTGAAAATTTCACTTTGAATAGGATTGCATCTCTCTCCCCAGCCTCTCTGACACATACCTATGCCTCCAACAGGCACAAAGCGCTCTGACATGAATTGATGAGGATGGAGTGGTGAGGGTCCTATTGACTGGCGACATTAACCTCCTGGCGGTGGGGCCCGGCTTCTGAAAGGCGACCTCGGCAGCTGCGGCTCTAATTGTTCCAGGTCAGATCGACCCCGCGCGTTTACGATTTTTAACAACACTCGTAAAAAGTCCAGTGACATCTGTGGAGAGTTTAATTGTGAGTGTCAAGGAGGAAAGAAAAAACAAAATCATTAAAGGCACTGCCAAGAGATGGATTTTCATGCTGTTGAACCAACATGGAGGCCATCAGACGGTGGGGGAATCCGGCGACAGGACCGACTGCATCTCCCAAATCCCAGAGCTGGAGGCAGGCGAACGGGATGCATGCAATTTAAATAAAGGACAGGGGGCTGGAGGCAGGGAAAGAGAAGAGGAGGAGAAGGGAAAACGGAAGGAGGAAGCATTGAGCAGAGGGAAGGAAAAAAAAAAAGAAAAAAAGGACCTATATTCCCTATCGAAAAAGTAGCATTAACCCCAGCGTTAGGCTGGGCACCCCCAGCGGAGGGCGGCGGGGGCTCCCCGCTTTCCTTGGGCTCGGCCTGGGGGCTGGGGAGGAGGAGGAGGACACCGG